TATTTAGGATAGTTAGCTCTTCTTATTGAATTGATCTCCTTACCATTACGTAATGGCCTTCGTTGTCTCTTTTGATCTTTGTTGGTTTAAAGTCTGTTTTGTCAGAGACTAGGATTGCAACCCCTCCTTTTTTCGTTTGTTTGTTTTCCATTTGCTTGGTAGATCTTCCTCCATCCCTTTATTTTGAGCCTATGTGTGTCTCTGCACGTGAGATGGGTCTCCTGGATACTGCACACTGATGGGTCTTGACTCTTTATCCAGTTTGCCAGTCTGTGTCTTTTAATTGGAGCATTTAGCCCATTTACATTTAAGGTAATAATATATTTGATGTAATTGATCTGTCTTTATGATTTACTGATATTTTGCTTTTAGTTTGATGCAGTTCTTCCTACATCAATGGTCCTTTACAATTTGCATGATTTTAGCAGTGGCTGGTAACCGGTTGTATCTTTTCCAATGTTTACTGCTTCCTTCAGGAGCTCTTGTTAGGCAGCCCGGGTGTACAAAAATCTCTCCATGCATATTGCTTGTCTGAGAGTATTTATTATTCCCCTTCACATTATTGAGCATGTAGTTGGTCCTGGGATATGAAATTCTGCATTGAAAATTATTTTCTTTAAGAATGTTGAATATTGGCCCCCAATCTCTTCTGGCTTGTAGAATTTCTGCTGAGAGATCCGCTGTTAGTCTGATGGTCTACCCTTTGTGTGTAACCCAACCTTTCTCTCTGGCTGCCCTTAATATTTTTTCCTTCATTTCAACTTTGGTGAATCTGACAATTATGTGTCTTGGAGTTGCTCTTCTCGAGGAGTATCTTTGTGGTGTTCTCTGTATTTCCTGAATTTGAATGTTGGCCTGTCTTGCTAGGTTGGGGAAGTTCCCCTGGATACTATCCTGAAGAGTGTTTTCCAACTTGGTTCCATTTTCCCCATCATTTTCAGGTACACCAATCAGATGTAGATTTGGTCTTTTCACATAGTCCCCTATTTCTTGGTGGCTTTGTTCATTTATTTTTACTCTTTTTCCTCTAAACTTCTCTTCTCGCTCCATTTCATTCATTTGATCTTCAATCACTGATACCCTTTCTTCCACTTGATCGAATTGACTATTGAAGCTTGTGCATGCATCACGTAGTTCTCATGCCATGGTTTTCAGCTCCATCAGGTCATTTGAGGTCTTCTCTACACTGTTCATTCTAGTTAGCCATTCGTCTAATCTTTTTTAAAGGTTTTTAGCTTCTTTGCGATGGGTTTGAACATCCTCCTTTAGCTCAGAGAAGTTTGTTATTACTGATCGTCTGAAGCCTTCTTCTCTCAACTCGTCAAAGTCATTCTCCATCCAGCTTTGTTCCGTTGCTGACAAGGAGTTGCATTCCTTTGGAGGAGAAGAGGCACTCTGATTAGAATTTTCAGCTTTTCTGCCCCGGTTTCTCCCCATCTTTGCGGTTTTATCTACCTTTGATCTTTGATGATGGTGACATACAGATGGGGTTTTGGTGTGGATGTCCTTTCTGTTTGTTAGTTTTCCTTCTAACAGTCAGGACCCTGAGCTGCAGGTCTCTTGGAGTTTGCTGGAGGTCCACTCCAGACCTTGTTTGCCTGGTTATCACCAGCAGAGGCTGCAGAACAGCAACTATTGCAGAACGACAAATGTTGCTGCCTCATCCTTCCCCTGGAAGCTTCCTCTCAGAGGGGCACCTGGCTGTATGAGGTGTCAGTTGGCCCCTACTGGGAGGTGTCTCCCAGTTAGGCTACTCGAGGGTCAGGGACCCACTAAGGAGGCAGTCTGTCCATTCTCAGATCTCAAACTCCATGCTGGGAGAACCACTACTCTCTTCAAAGCTGTCAGACAGGGATGTTTAAGTCTGCATAAGTTTCTGCTGCCTTTTGTTCAGCTATGCCCTGCCCCCAGAGGTGGAGTCTACAGAGGCAGGCAGGCCTCATTGAGCTGCAGCCTCCTTGAGCTCCACCCAGTTCGAGCTTCCCAGCCGCTTTGTTTACCTACTCAAGCCTCAGCAATGGCGGACACCCCTCCCCCAGCCTCACTGCCACCTTGCAGTTCGATCTCAGACTGCTGTGCTAGTGGTAAGCAAGGCTCTGTGGGCATGGCACCCTCTGAACCAGGCATGGGATATAACCTCCTGGTGTGCCATTTGCTAAGACTGTTGGAAAAGTGCAGTATTAGGGTGGGAGTGTCCCAATTTTCCAGGAACCATCTGTCATGGATTCCCTTGGCTACGAAAGGGAATTCCCTGAACCCTTGCAATTCCCAGGTGAGGCGATGCCCTGCCCTGCTTCAGCTCACACTCCGTGGACTGCACTCACTGTCCAACAAGCCCCAGTAAGATGAACCTGGTTCTTCAGTTGGAAATGTAGATATCACCCATCTTCTGAATCGCTCACGCTGGGAGTTATAGACTGGAGCTGTTCCTATTTGGCCATCTTGGAACCGGAAACAGCCCACACTGCACCAGTTTTAAACATGAAACTCACTTTACAGGAAATGAAGTATGGGAATGGGCTCATGGTAATGGATTTCACTAGTCTTGTGATGTTCCTCAACATCCTGAAGTGGCTGGCTCAATAGAACAGTGGAGTGATCTTTAAAACCTGAGTTGTAGTTCTAGCTTTGTGGCAGTGCCTTGAGGGGCTTGGCTGACAATCTCAGAGGTGGCAATGCTGGATCCCAGCATCAAGTATATGGAACTATTTCTCCCATAGCCACATCTATGTCTTCAAGAATGAAGGAGCCAAGATGCGGGCCTCCTCTCACTATTACTCTTGGGTATCTAGTAGCAAAATTTTTCTTTTTGTGCTCAAGAAGCAAACTTTGCTCTCAAGAAGCAAACTTTTGGCTCTGCTGGACTAGAGGTCTTAGTTACAAATTGAGAAATTTTTTCAATGGGGGAATAAAAAATGATTCCATTGAAATGAAAATTGTGTCTGACAGCTGACCACTTTGAACTCTTCATTCCTCTCAACCAAGAGACAAAGTAGGGATTCTGTTACTGGCTTGGGTGATGGAAACTGAAAAAAAAAAGGAGATCAGGTTCCTACTACACCAGGGGCTAAGTAAAAGTAAGTCTGATATGTCTAGAGAGCTTCTTAGTCCTCCCGTGTTTTGTGATTAGAGTTAATGGAAAATCACAGCAACCCCATCCAGGCAGGACATCTAACGGTTCAGACTCTTCCATAATGAAGGTTTGAGCCATCCTGCCAGGCCAAGCTCCATGAACCAACTGACATGCTATCTTAGGGCAAAGGGAATGTGAAATGGGTAGTGAAAGAAGGCTTTAATACCAGCTTCAGCAATGTGAGCTGCTGCAGAAACCACGACTGTAATAGTCTTTACTTAATGGGTTAATAATATCTACCAGCATAGGTGGGAATACAAAACAACCAAAAAACAAGTTATTCTTTCAAATGAAATGCTTAGGGAAAAAGAACAACTTTTACTAACAGACATTTCTTAGCCTCTGAAAGGCCATTTGATTCAGTAACATATGCCAGGAGACTTCAGCAATATCCTGCTCCACTGTAGAAAACAGCAATCTGATCCTTTTCTCTCCTCAATCATTAATGAGATTATGCATTTGAGTTGTCATAATCCTCCATGGACAAGTACTCCCAAATCATATGCTCCAGTTTCTTCTCAAGGAGCTGAACGAAGTCTCGGCTCATACATCTGAAAAGACAGAGACATGCCATTAACTACAAGATAGCCAAAGAACCTATGCTGTAGGAAGCACTGTGAAGGATAGAAAGATGAAGTAACAGTCAGCATGGAAACAGAAATGTATCTGCACGGTAAGAGGTAGTCTAGTCGGCAATAACAAATGCTGGCGAGGGTGTGGAGAAAAGGGAACCTTCATATACTGTTGGTGGGAATAAAAATTACTACAATAACTACGAAGAACAGTATGGAGGTTCCTCGAAAAACTAAAAACGGAGCTATCATATGGTCCAGCAATCCCACTGCTGGGTATATGCCCAAGAGAAAGGAAGTCAGGGTACCGAAGAGATATCTGCACTCCCATGTTTGTTGCACAACCATTCACAGTAGCCAAGATTTGGAAGCAACTGAAGTGTCCACTAACAGATGAATGGATAAAAAAATATGGTACATATACACAATAGAGTATTGTTCAGACATAAAAAAGAATGAGATTCAGACATTTGCAACAACATGGATGGAATCAAAGGTCATGATGTTAAGTGAAATAAGCCAGGCACAGAAAGACAAACTTTGTATTTTCTCACTTATTTCTGGGAGTAAAAATGTAAAACAAGTGAACTAATGGAGATAGAGAGTAGAATGACGGTTACCAGAGGCTGGGAAGGTTAGTGGGGGTGGACGGTGTGGGAAGTGGGGATGATTAATAGGTAGAAAAATAGAATAAATAAGATGTAGTATTTCATAGCCCAACAGGGTGACTATTGTCGGTAATAATTTAATTGTACATTTAAAAATAGTGAAGAGTATAATTGGATTGTCTGTAACACAAAGGATAAAAGCTTGAGGTGATACATACCCCATTTACCTTGATGTGATTATTACACATTGTTGTCTGTATCACAACATCTCATATACCCCAGAAATATATGCATCTGCTATGTCCGTACAAAAATTTTTTAAAAAGAGGTAGTCTAGCAAATACAAAGAGTGTCAATCGAGGGACAATGCGCACCTCAGACTATGGTGGGAATGGGAGTCTCCATAGTCTTCGAAGAATGAGTTAGATTCAGATAACATTAGCCTAAGTAACTGTGGAGACAGCTGTAACTATGAGTGAGGACCAGGGTTTGAGAAATTCAAGGCAGGGGCTGTTCCCCCACGCTCACCCCCAGTACTCTATTGAGTCCAAGTGCTTAAAGAAATTGGACAGTTCCTATTTCTACCCACCTTGCTGCTTCCTTGATGATGGATTCAAAAAATTGTTTCTTGACTTCTATAGGTCCTTGCACTTCTTCAAGCAATTTGAAGATCTTTTCGTATTCTGAAGATGTTTAAAAAAAAAAACCTTCAGTATTATCAAATATAAAGAAGAATAGAAGTGAATCTATACCTCAGCAATCATGCTTCATAGGCTAAAATGTTTTAAATGCTTAAATCAAGATACCCGCACATACAAAAACTAAATAATAAAAAGACACCTGCACATACGTATGAATGAAACTCTTTTTTTTTTTTTTTTTTTTTTGGGCTGGAGTGCAGTGGCGCGATCTCGGCTCACTGCAAGCTCCGCCTCCTGGGTTCACGCCATTCTCCTGCCTCAGCCTCCCAAGTAGCTGGGACTACAGGCGCCGCCACCACGCCCGGCTAATTTTTTTGTATTTTTAGTAGAGACGGCGTTTCATTGTGTTAGCCAGGATGGTCTCGATCTCCTGACCTCGTGATCCGCCCGTCTCGGCCTCCCAAAGTGCTGGGATTACAGGCTTGAGCCACCGCGCCCGGCCGAATGAAACTCTTTTAACCATAACCAAGTAAGAAAAGAAAAGCAAAAGGTGTACTATGCTTTAGTCAAAGAAAAGAGGAACCACCATAAACTATGGGCAAACTCAACTCTGGCAAAGAATGAGCCTCAACAGGTAACATGAATATCTTCTGAATCATAGAGAGACTTCCTATAGTTTTATGAAACAGACATTCTCATACTACTTACTTCGTCCAATGCTTCGGATTTCCTTCACTAATTGACGTTTTATATCAGCATTAATTTCTTCTTGGCTTTTGGGAATAGGGTCTATTTCTCTGCATTTTAGGTCATCTTCAGAGAAATTGCTGGTAATGATTCCTCCCACAGGTGCATTGCTACCAGGTTTCTGCATCAGCTCATCTTTGCTGAAACCAGCGAAGTCATCAATCTGAGAATCCAATTGGATGGGTGGAATACCATCTCCTGTCTTAAGCTCTAGTGAAACAGATTTTGACAAAAAGCCATCAGTTGGTGTTTGACCACTTTCTTTCCCCTCCACATAGATATCATGAATGACAGATCTGGAAACCAAACTGAGAAGTTGAGCTGTGAGAAATGTGTGTTTCATCACCCCTCTGGGTACATCTATGTGCTCCTCAGTTTCTAGGGAATTATATCTTTCATAAATGGGAGGATATACCGGGAGAAATCTCAGACCTGATGAACTGAGGCCAGGACACATAATACAATAAAACCACCTCTTATTTTCTGGCCCTATGAATAGATATGGAAACCAAGTAAGACAGTACAACTCTAAAGCAACATTCACAGATCCCTGGTACTCATGGGATAGTTTCAGCTTGTTATGCTTTACAAGTTGAAAGCAGCAAGTCTCACTTGATATCACGATTTCTCAAATTCACTTACAAACCACCAGGCTTTACTGAGCTGGAAGCCAGACAGCTTGGAAACACCTCAAGCAGCCTCCTCTCTACATCAAATATATTCTGAGAAAATAGAGGTGGCCATTACTGCTGACAGTTCTATACGCACTCCATCACCAAAAAATCCCTTTTAGTGTATGATTTTCCTCATCCTTCCTTTCTGTCTCAGAAAAGTGACTTTCTTTTCACTCCAGGTCTGACACCTCTTATTTATTCATCGTCTGTGGCAGGCAGCATGCCAGTAGCTGGGGATCAGCAGTAAACAGCCCAGAGAGCAACGTTCCCTGCCCTTGTGGAGCTCACATCCTCATGTGGGGCAGTCAGACAGTACGTGCACAATGAATGAGAAAATGAAACAAACAGCGTTGGGCTAGTGGTAGGGAAGCAGTCCACAGGCCTGTGGGCAACAGCAGCAGAGGGAGCCCCAGGAGTTGCCACTGGTTGGGCAGAGCCTTCTGTGGATGTACCCTTGGGCAGGGCTTGAAGGAAGAAGCAGAGCTGCCTGCGCAGAGGCAGAGGGGGAGTTCCAGGTTGCTGTGAGGCCAAGGGTATGGGCTGGAGTGGGGATGGACCAGGCACTACGGGGTGAACGACAGAAGCAGACAGAGTCAGGAGATGGATGAGGCCCGTGTGAGGAGAGGGTGATGGAGGCCAGGCCATGCAGAACCTCGCAGACCAAAGCTGGTTCACAGTCGGTTCTGAGTGCTAAGGAGAGTGGAGGATGGGTTTTCAGGAGTGACATGGCATGATGTGATTTACATGCCAACATGATGATCTGGCTGCCGGGTTGGAGCGTATGTATTCGATGGGGACAATAATGGGAAATGTGGAGGTATCACGGGACCTCAGTGATTGATCATGGCAGATTGGAACAGAAGGAGAGAGAGAGATGCTGGGGTTCAGAAATTTTTTTAGAGTATTTAGAGAAGAGAAGAAAAAGAAAGACAGAAAAAAAAGAATGACAGGGGTCGGATGCAGTGGCTCGTGCCTGTAATCCCAGCACTTTGGGAGGCTGAGGTGGGTAGATCACCTGAGGTAAGAAGTTCGAGACCAGCCTGGCTGATATGGCAAAACTCCATCTCTACTAAAATTACAAAAATTAGCTGGGTGCGGTGGCTGGTACTTGTGATCCCAGCTACTCGGGAGGCTGCAGCAGGAGAATCACTTGAACCCAGGAGCCTGAGGTTTCAGTGAGCCGAGATCATGTCACTGGACTCCAGCTTGGCCGAGAAGAATGAAACTCCATCTCAAGAAAAAATTGATAGGGATTCACCAATACGGACAAGAAATTTAAAAAAAAAAATTGTGGAAAATGGAAATGCTAGAAGGTTTTCATGAAGAAGCGAGTGAACAACTGTCAAATGCTGCAGAGAAATTAATGGCAATGTCAGCTGAAACCGTTGACCTTGACAAGGACAGTTTCTCTGGAGGGGGTGAGGCAGGAGGCTGACTGCACTGGATACAGCATGAAGAGGAGGTGACGACAGGCTTACTTACTCTTTTCTTTGGACATGGCAGAGCCTGCAGTAAGGCTGTCTCCTGCTCCTTGTTTCCTTGCCAACAGGGCAATCCTCTGCCTTTTCTGATATGAAGGACTGTCACATTCCCTGGGACGTTTAAACATGGTTTCAGGATCTACAGCCACTTTCTCTGTTTTATCGGTCATTGTTTCCTGAAAAACATCAATGAACATATTCCATTCATGACAAAAATCTAACAATCACAAAATGGCAAACAGTTTGCATATGTGTATACAACCAAGACTTTGAATCATTAATTTCACTTTTAATCATGAGCCAAGATTTACCAAGTCTCAACAAACACTCTGTTCTCAGGAAAAGAAACCTAATTTTATTGAACACTAAGTAAAAAAAGAAGAAAAATGGTACAAACAAATCAATCAGAATGCCTGTGGAATAAGTAGCTGCCATCAACCAAAAATAGATGAAAATATTATTACCTATTTGAAGATGTATAAGCCAGTCTATATTAACCCTTATTAGGAAAAATAGATGTATAAGCCAATCTGTATTAACCCTTATTATACATTATATTTTAAACTACATATATTATACATTATATTATACATCACATATATTTAATACATAAATATATATACTTATATATTCAAATGGATGTATAAACAAATCTGTATTAACCCTTATTAGGAAAAATGAGGACAAAGAAAAGGATTGTAGAAGATTGATACAAAACTGATAACAACATCTGACAAGGACTTTAGAAAAAAGAAAAACCACAAGATCAGGCCAAAATACAAGCCAAGATCACCCCTGAACTTAGACACAAAAACTTCAAACTAAACGTGAGGAAGTAAAATGCAATAGTACTTAAAAAGGACATACATCAGCCATGGTGGAGTATATTGCAGAAAGGCAACACTGATCTAACATTTGAAAATCAATAAATGTAATGCACCATATTAACAACAACAAGTAAACGGAAACACCACATGATTATTTTCATACATGGGTCAATGTTTAAAGTCCATTCGTGATAAAAACTATCACCAACTTAGAAAAAAGGGCAACTTTCCTATTCTGGTTAGCATATGTACAAAAAAATAGTAAATGCGATACTTCATAGTGACGTATCAGTATTTTCTCCCTGAGTTTGAAAACAAGACAAAGATGTCCACTATCCATTCAACAATTTATTGGAGGTTCTAAAAAGTGCCATAGCATCAGGAAAATATAATATGTTTAAAATTTGGAAAGTAACCTCGCAGACCAAAGCTGGTTCACAGTTGGTTCTGAGTGCTTAGGAGACTTGAGGATGGGTTTTCAGGAGCGACATGGCATGTTGTGATTTACATGCCATTCACAGATGACATTGTTCTGTACATAATGCAGAAGAATAAAATCATTATGGTTAATAAGCAAATTTAGTCAACATACTAGATCTAATAAAAACCAATGGCATTTCTGTATAATTAATAGCAACAAATAATTAGAATATGAGATTTCAAATGTCATTAAAAACAGTACCAAAATCATCAAATATTTAGGAATAAATCTAATCAAGATGTGCTAGAGTACTACACAAAAATTATAAAACATCACTCAGAGAAATTCAAGACTGCAGTAAATGGAGAAAAATATTCTTTCGATGTGTTGGAAGCCATCTTTTTTTTTTTTTTTTTCTTTTTTTGGAGACGGAGCCTTGCTCTGTCACCCAGGCTGGAGTGGAGTGGCACAGTCTCTGCTCACTGCGACCTCCACCTCCTGGAGGATTCAAACAATTCTCCTGCCTCAGCCTCTCAAGTAGCTGAGATTACAGGCGCCTGCCATGATGCCTGGCTAATGTTTTGTATTTTTAGTAGAGAAGAGGTTTCACTTTGTTAGCCATACTAGTCTCAAACTCCTGACCTCAAGTGATCTGCCCACCTCGGTCTCCCAAAGTGCTGGGAATACAGGTGTGAGCCACCACACCCAGCCAGAAGACATTATTAAGAGACATTATTGTCAAGTCTCTCAGAATGATCATAGCAATCATATTTAAAATTCCACCATGTTAACAAAAGCTTTTCTGAAAATTGACAAGCAGATCATTTTGTAAGTATATGCAAATTAAAGATTTGGAAAAGCCAAGTTTTTTAAGCCAAGGGAAAGACAAATTTTTTTTAAGGAAAAGAACTAAGTTAGTAGAAATGCACTACTATATAGGAAATTTACTATAAAGGTAGAATAATTAAAACAGTGTGGTATTGGAGCAATGACAGGCAAATACACCAAGGGAAGAGGACACAGAGGCCAGAAACAATATGGAAATACAAAATACAGAAGAGCTGTAAATCACTGTGGAAAGGACAGTGCTTTTAATAAATGCACTTGATAAATGCAAGGAAAATACAAACCTTGACTCTTACCTCTTCCCACTCCACAGAACTTTGTTAAAGATGGATAGACAATCTAGTAAACACTTAAGATATTGTCTTCACAACTATAGAATAGACAAAGATGTTTTTAATGAGGATAAACAAGCACTAACCATAAAGAATGAATTCTTTAATTAGACATAATTAAATGGAAAACTTCCGTTTCTCAAAGACACTATTAAGAGACTGAAAAACCCGGCCGGGCGCGGTGGCTCAAGCCTGTAATCCCAGCACTTTGGGAGGCCGAGACGGGCGGATCACGAGGCCAGGAGATCGAGACCATCCTGGCTAACACGGTGAAACCCCGTCTCTACTAAAAAAATACAAAAAACTAGCCGGGCGAGGTGGCGGGCGCCTGTAGTTCCAGCTACTCGGGAGGCTGAGGCAGGAGAATGGCGTGAACCCGGGAGGCGGAGCTTGCAGTGAGCTGAGATCCGGCCACTGCACTCCAGCCCAGGCGACAGAGTGAGACTCCGTCTCAAAAAAAAAAAAAAAAAAAAAGAGACTGAAAAACCAAAGCATGTTTGTAGATTATACATTATGTAGTATATAGTATAGGTTATACATAAAAATATATAGTAGTTACACACATATATACATATATATCTGGCAACAAATGAGTGGAATCCAGAATATATCCAGAACTACAAATCAATTTCTAAAAAACAAACATCCCAATAAAATTTGGGGGGAAAAGCTGAAGATTCACTTCATAAGAGTCATACTCAAATGGCTAATAAGCACATCGAATATACCTGGTCTCTGACTTTACTCCATTTCATGAGAATTTATTTCAGATGATTGGGAGATCTAGAAGAAAACTTAGAATATTATCATCATGAGTGTAAATTAGTTTAACCATTGTGGAAGACAGTGTGGTGATTCCTCAAGGATCTAGAACCAGAAATACCATCTGACCCAGCAATCCCATCACTGGGTATATACCCAAAGGATTATAAATCATTCGACTATAAAGACACATGCACACGTATGTTTATTATAGCACTATTCACAACAGCAAAGACTTGGAACCAACCCAAATGCCCATCAATGATAGACTGGATAAAGATAATGTGGTACATATACACCACGGAATACTCTGCAGCCATGAAAAAGAATGAGTTCATGTCCTTTGAAGGTACCGGTGTCAGCAAGCTAACACAGGAACAGAAAACCAAACACCACATGTTCTCACTCATAAGTGGGAGTTGAACAGTGAGAACACATGGACATAGGGAGGAGAACATCACACAGCCGGGCCTGACAGGGGTCGGGAGGGGGGAGGGGAGGGATAGCATTAGAGAAATACCTAACGTAGCTGACAGGTTGATGGGTGCAGCAAACCACCATGGCATGTGTCTACCTATGTAACAAACCTGCACATTCTGCACATGTATCCCAGAACTTAAAGTACAATAATAATAAAAAAATATGATCATAATGGCATCGGGTGAAGCAAAGATATTTCTTAAAAAAATAAAAAGCACTAGCCATAAATAATACACTGATTAATAAAATTAAGAGAATCTGTTCATCTAAAACACATTATTGAGATCTTGTAAAAGCAAAAAATATTTATAGAAGATACTAAAATTGTATATGCATTTTTATATATGTACATATATGTCTGTGTGCATGTTTGTATAACTGAAATGCAGAATATATGGAAACTACAAATCCATTTTTGAAATGCAAACATCTTAGTAAAAGCTGGGGAAAAATACCTGAAAAGGAACTTCATAAAAGACATAGTAAATGACCAATAAACAGATAAAATGGTGAAAACAAAACAAAAATAAAAACCACAAATAGCTGGGTGTGGTGGCACTGCAAGCCAGCCTGGGCGACAGACGGAGACCCTGTTTCAAAAGACAAACAAAAATCAATAAATAAAAACAATATTTTAAAAGGTGCTCAAGTTCATTAATCAGCACAAAAATGCGAGTGTAGACATAAGGAGGGATCACTGCACAGCCATCAGAGTGGCTGGAATGAAAGACTAACTGTACAGCGAGTGTTCGAATGTGGCACAGCTGGAACCTTCGAATATTTCTGGACCCCCATTCCCACACAGACACCTGAGGCTGTGACCGAAAGGTCAGACAGAATCCTGGGAAAGAGTTCCTTCAGAATCGAGATCAACCAACCAAGGAAAAGCATCCCAACCCGGGGCGAGACCGAGTTCCCAAGGTCACGTGGCCTCCCTCATGGCTGACACTCCCTGAGTCCCACCATAGGCTTAGAGAATCCAAGGAATCCCCATTCGCCCGGGACACCGGGAGAGAGCACCCACAGATAATAATTTTAAAAACCCAGCATCAAGAGAAAGCATCCGGTAAGCATCTACATGGGGATAAGTAGAACCAAAGAAAAGCCAACACGTTATAGCTGAGAGCAAGCGACATCCAAGGACAAATGTGCCTCACGGCAAACATCAGCACCCAAGGAAGAGTCCCTCGGGGGTCGAGATAAAGCCCCCAACAGTGACCCCACAGGGCTGCGATCATGCGTCCGAGGCACAGCCACCCCCACCACGTTCCATGAGCACAGAAAGGGTCCCCAAGGCAGAATGCTCCCTCAGAACGGCGACTGAGCGGGAAAGAAACGCCGCCGCACCCAAGGCCGACACAGGCAACCAAGGCATGCCCCCCACCCCTGGGCTTAGGTCATTTCAGTAGGAAAAGTCCCTCACATCACCGAGAGGGAGTCCCCAAGAAAAGCCCCCTGGCCCCACAACATAGCCGAGACGGGGTGCCCAAGGAAAACGCTCCCCCATGGCTGACACAGGTTCCCATGGCGGTGTCCCCAGAGCGGAGCCACTTTCCCAAGGGAGCCCTACCACACACCGGACAGAGAACGCCACAGAAAAGACGCTTTCCGAGGAAAAAGGACGCTTTCCGGGGTGAAATTAAAGCATCCAGGGAAAAACAGCCCACTCACAGTCCTGAAGTCCTGACCTCGCTGGAGGAGTGACGGCGGCACCTCACAAAATGGCAGTGAAGCTGTGGCGCCTCCCTAGTGGTGGCAGTTTCTAGAAACCTGCCCTCTGGGAGCTGTGGGAAATGTGCCCCCTAGGGCACCTGGGAGTGATGTGCATGGCCAGGCGTCTCACCAGAAGCATCGATCCCGTTCGGCCCAAGGGGGATAGAAGGAGGGGAAATAACCAGCCACAGCGTGCCTGCCCCAGCCCAACACTGGGAACCTGTTGGGGGCGCCAGAGTCCTGAGGAGAAGCCTCATGCCCCAGAGAACCAGGAAGCGCAGCCCTCCCCTTCGCTGACTCTGGCGCCCTCTACAGGCCACCTTCAGTAACAACTGCACAGCAACATAAGCGGAGAAACGCAGAATCTTCTCACACAGTGGGTTGAAATCGCCTGGGTAACATAGTGAGACCCCGACTCTGCAAAGCAACCAACCAACCAAAAAGAAAAAGAAAAACACAAAAATCAGCCGGGCATGGTGGCGCGCGCCTGTGGTCCCAACTACTCGGGAAGTTGAGGTGGGAGGATCGCTTGAACCCGGGAGGCGGAGGTAGCAGTGAGCCGAGATCGCGCTACTGCACTCCAGTCCAGGCGATAGAGGAGACTCCATCTTAAAAAAAAGAAAAAAAGAAAAAGAAAAAAAAAAAGAAAAAACAACAACAAACTGAAATTTGCATTTGAGGGAGTTGTGTTTTAAAGTCAACCCCGACCAGGCAAGTGGCTCACGCCTGTAATCTCAGCACATTGGGAGGACAAAGCGGCTGGACCACCTGAGATCAGGAGTTCGAGACCAGCCTGGCCAACATGGTGAATCCCGTGTCTACTAAAAATACAGAAAATTATCCAGGCATGGGGGTGCGCACCTGTAGTCCCACCAGCTACTTGGGAGGCTGAGGCAGGAGAAACTTTTGAACCAGGGAGTCGGAGTTTGCAGTGAGCTGAGATCAGCCACTGCACTCCAGCCTGGGTAACAGAGTGAGACTCTGTCTAAAAATAAAAATAAATAAATAAATAAAAATAAATAAAGTCAACCTCTATCTGTTAAAGGTAATCATTATTGTTAATTGATAAGAAAAATGAGGGC